TCGGCATCGCTGGTGCCACCCTCGCTTTTTCTGCCGCGTAGCACGTCACCCGCTACAGGGCGACGCCCGAAGGCGGAGGAGCCTGCGCGATCTGCGCATTCCCCTAGTGAAGCCGGCTTGAGAGCAATCCTGATCGACAGGATGACCAAGTGGGGTCTTTCCTTTGATGGAACAACGGATCCACTTGGATTCATAGAGCACATCGAGGAGCGTGCCGATACCTGCCGGATCGACCGGAGATATCTGGCTCAAGCCCTGGTGGTGTTGCTGACCGGCCGAGCCGAAAGTTGGTTCCGCACGAGCGGACTCCAGCAAGCCAGCTGGACCGAGGTCCGCCGAGAGTTCCTTGACTTCTTCTTGCCACCGCGATACTATCAGCGGCTGGAGGATGAGATAAGGATGCACAGAAGCCCAACGGGCCATTTAAGGAATACCTTATCGACATCCGTTTGCAGATGCGCTGGGCCGGATTCTCCTCGGACAAGGAACTGGAGAGGATCTATGAAAATATGCTGCCAGAGTATCAACTCTACACCCGGAGGCGGGATTTCCGTACGCTGACCGAGCTAACGCATCTCGTGACCAACTACGAGGAGACGCGCAGCCGAGGCGGAAGAACGCTCGAGAACCGGATCCCGACTCAACGCCAGGCCACAGGAGCCAGCTACGCAGCAGACGGAGACAGGATGCCCACTCGACGAGCTCAACAGGCGCCCTCTTCAGGCAACGCCCTCAACGGTTCCCTTAGCCGGAACGCTTGCACCAGCCAGAGCGCGGTGGCACCACGACCAGAAGCCGTAAACGTTCGCGACGCCTGCCGGAACTGTGGCCAATCCGGGCACTTCGAAGCCGAATGCAGGAATCCACGGATCCTATTCTGTTGGGATTGCGGTCAACGAGGACGCAGGACGATTGACTGTTGCCGACAGCCACCGTCGGGAAACGGACAAGGGCCTCGTGTGACCGGGAATCTCCCGAGGAACCCTCCGTATCCCCGAAGCCAATAGGAGACACTCTCCATCAGTACCAGGGACGCATCCGCGCTACCATCCACATGGAGGGGCAGCGGTTCACAGCTACCCTGGAGACCGGAGCCACCCATAGCTTCATTAGCGAAGGGCTGGCTCAAATGCTGGACAACGGAAGGAACACACGGGACATCCGTACCCAGGTAAAACTCGCCGCGAGCTGACCAGAGCTCTGGCGGCAAATATTTACCTCGGGAGTGAACGGACGCCCACCATTCTCCTCGTGATGTCGGACGCACTGGACGACATACTCCTGGGAATGGACTTCCTCTGTGGAATCGGAGCAACCCTGCTATGGGGCGGGCAGACCCTCCGACTGCGACCGAACGACCAGCGAAGACCAACAACAGAGCCACGCTCTGACCAGCGAAGACCAACAACAGAGCCACGCTCTGACCAGCGGAGACCAACGACAGAGCCACGCTCTGACCAGCGAAGGGAGCCACGCTCCAACCCACGGGACCAGCCCGCAGAGCCACGCTCTGACCAGCGAAGGGAGCCACGCTCCAACCACGAAGAGCCAACAACGGCACATCACTCAGAGCCACGCTCTGATCAGCAAAGCACACCGACGGAGTCACACTCCCGCCACGAAGAGTCATCCCCGGCACATCACTCAGAGCCACGCTCTGAGCAACGAAGCACATCGACGGAGTCACACTCCCACCACGAAGAGCCATCCCCGGCACATCACTCAGAGCCACGCTCTGCCCAGCGAAGCACATCGACGGAGTCACACTCCAACCCCGACGAAGAGCCACCAATGGCCCACCATGCAGAGCCACGCTCTGATCAGCGAAGGACGACAACGGAGTCACACTCCACCCACGCCAAAAAGCCATAGACGACAGCCCAAGGAGAGCCACGCTCTACCCATCGAGGGCAGCCAAGGGAGCCATGCTCCGATCCCGAAGACCAGCCAAGCACCTCACCTCGAGCACAGTTTCGGGGCACAGCATCACCAGCGACGGAGAACCAGCCGCCCTGTTGGAGACAGGCTTTGCCCGTGGCAGATGCCACAGCCGCGCAACGGAACCCTTTCCGTACCTCCACAAAACGTGTCCGCTTCCAGGATCACGTCGAGGAAACGCCGGAGCCAAGCCCGCCCCTATGCGGAACCGTCAATTCGGTGAGTCATCCCACAGAGGATCAGGTCTCTTTCCAGACAGAGGAACCCGAAACGCCGGATTACCCCGAGCCTTGGGTGAAGGAGTTCCTGGACCAGGAACTGGCCAAATTTGATACTCTCTCAGGGGTATCACACATCGCAGAGCATCGCATCTTCATGCGCACCGACCGACCCCTTAAACAGCGATACTTTCCAAGGAACCCGGCCATGAGGGCCGTCATTGACAAGAAGATCAATGAACTCCTCCGAGACGGACGCATTGAACCATCGAAAAGCCCGCACAGCGCGCCCATAGTAATCGCGGCCAAAAAGAATGGGGAAGTCCGCATGTGCGTGGACTACCGCCAGCTCAATGAGAACTCCGTGCCGGACGCGTATCCGCTTCCGAGAATCCATCAGATCTTGGAGCGACTCCGGAACGCGAAATTCATCTCGACGTTGGATCTCAAAAATGGGTATTGGCAAATCCCAGTGGCCCCGGACAGTCGGGAGTGCACGGCGTTTACCGTTCCCGGAAGAGGGTTGTTTCATTGGAGAGTCATGCCTTTCGGACTCCACTCCGCCCCCGCCACGTTCCAACGCGCCTTCGACATGGTCATCGGTCCGGATATGGAACCCCATGCGTTTGCATATCTGGATGACATCATTGTCATCGGTTCCACACTGGAGGAGCATGTCGCCAATCTGGGAGAAGTCTTCAGGCGCCTCCGCTGCGCAAACCTGCGCCTCAACAGAGGGAAGTGTCATTTCTTCCAGCGCGGCATCGTGTACTTGGGTCACTTGATCAGCGAAGCCGGAATCCACACGGATCCTGACAAGGTCGCTGCGATCCGTGGACTCGCACCGCCGACGAACTTGAAGGAGCTACGCAGGTGCCTGGGAATTGCTTCCTGGTACCGCCGCTTCGTGCCGAACTTCGCCGATGTTGTGGCACCCATGACATCGCTGCTGAAGAAGGGCCACAAGTGGGAATGGACCCAAAGACAAGACCAGGCCTTCCAGGAGCTGAAGACGCTGCTGACCGAAGCCCCTATTCTAGCTTGCCCAGATTTTGCAGAGAAGTTTGTGCTACAAACTGACGCCAGTGATTACGGAATCGGAGCCGTACTCACACAGACCATCGAGGGAAATGAGAGGGTGATAGCGTACGCCAGCCGCAGGCTCAACACAGCCGAGAGGAACTACTCGGTGACTGAGAAGGAGTGCCTCGCCATCGTCTGGGCGATCCGAAAGATGCGGTGTTACATCGAGGGATACCGCTTCGAAGTCCTCACAGACCACCACTCCTTGAAGTGGTTGAACTCCATCGACAATTTAACAGGCAGGATTGCCCGTTGGGCATTGGAGTTGCAACAGTATCAGTCTGATGTCCATTACGGGAAGGGGGCCCAAAACTTAGTGGCCGATGCCCTTTCTCGCCAACCGCTGCCCATCGTGCAGCAAGCGGAGGTACAAGGAGTCAACTGTAAGTGGATCACGAGGATGCTCCAGAGGATTCGGACCGAACCGGCAAAATTCCCGGATAACCGAGAGGAGAGTGGCCAGCTATATCGTCGCCTTGGACTCCGACCTGAGGAGGAGCAGTACACGCCCTGGAAACTTTGCGTAGGATCAGACTATCGCCAGCGAGTACTCGAAGAGTGCCACGATCACCCCACTGCCGGTCATCTAGGAGTCCGGAAAACCAGCACTCGCGTGACCCAGCGCAATTACTGGCCTGGATTGTTCCGCGAGGTGGCTCGGTACGTTCGCCGTTGTCCCACTTGTCAGCGATATAAGGTGAGCCAAGAAAAACCCGCGGGCCAAATGTTTACTCGACAGGTCGAGGAGCCGTTCCACATCCTTTGTGCAGATTTCGTCGGCCCACTGCCGCGGTCGAAACAGGGCAACACGATGCTTCTAGTGTTCCTAGACGCCTTCAGCAAGTGGGTGGAACTGGTACCACTCCGCAAAGCTACCGCCACACATCTGGAACGAGCCTTCAGAGAGCGGATATTGAGCCGATTCGGTGTTCCCCGAACCTTTGTCTGCGACAACGGGACGCAGTTCACCGGCCGCTCATTCCAGAAGTTCTGCCAGTCGCTAGGGATGGAGCTGCAGCACACGGCGCCCTACACTCCGAGGCAGAATCCCACGGAAAGGGCAAATCGAACGATCAAGACGATGATCGCCCAATACTTGGATGGAGGCCAACAAAACGAGTGGGATCAACTCCTACCGGAGATATCTTTGGCCATAAATAGTAGTGTCTCGGACACTACCGGATTCAGCCCCGCATTCTTGGTACAAGGTCGAGGTTACCCCGACAGAGCTAAGCGAGCAACTCCGGAACATCTTCGACGTCGTCTGAAACAACGCTGACCGCGCCGCCGCCGAGCAGAGCCGTCACTACAACCTACGCCGGAGGACGTGGAGACCACCAGTTGGATCCATGGTCCTAGTACGCCTACACGCCTTATCCAACGCGGCCGAGGGCTTTGCCGCGAAACTAGCAGCGAAGTACGAAGGACCCTTCAGGGTAGCAAAGTTCCCATCGCCGAACATCGTGCAACTGCACGTGCCAGGAAGCCGACGCCGGCGGACCGCTAGCCTGAACCAGCTGAAGCCGTACCACCACGAAGAGGATGCCGACACCGAAGCCGGAAGACACCAGGAAGACACCGACGCCGAAGACGCCGATGACACCACTCTGGACGCACAGCCAGCAGCCAAGACCGCACGGCGCAGGGGATCCATCCCACGCCGCCAACACTAGCGACGAGCACCCATGTAGGGGGAGATGACCATGTTTCACAGGGGCCACTTGTTGACACACGCCCCTGTCCAACGTCCCGAACCCCCTAATGGAGTGAACATGCGTCTCTTTCCAAAAAGCCGTAGCCGTAGCCAACCCTAGCCCACTCCATTAGGTAGGGCCCAGGGCAACACACTAATACACATCTCATCTGTCCTTACAGCAACCGCCTTCAGCCCGCCTACCACAAGGCACGACGAGCCACGCGCTCCACAGATTTCCGCCAACACCGACGCCAACCAAAAGTATGGACGGACAAGGCCATCCGTCGACTCCCGCCCCGGCGCCACAGGACACCCACAGGAATGTACTGTGCAAGTGACGAGCTCCTACAGGCGCTCCACGGCGCCGGCCCAAGCCAGCCGCGTCCCAGAGGCAGCCTCGTCGCCCATAGCGCCGGCCCCTTCCGGCCACGGGCTCTACCCGTCGAGGGCGTCACCATCGACGCCGACAACACGGAGGAGGCGAACACCGGCAACCACGCCGGGCCCCGTCGGCCCTCTACCGAGGGGATGCCACCATTGGCGTCCCAGCACACCAGCCCCATCGGGCCATCACTGCTCCCTCTGGAAGTCGCCCACCACCATGGCGATGACGAGGAGGGAGTGGGCCACATCGACTACGCCGAACGGCCATTATCTTTGAGGGGAGTGCCACCCCTGGTACCCCTGCTCACCGGCCTCATTGGGCCTCAACGGGCCCCTCTGGAAGTCGTCCCCCGTGACGATGACGAGGAGGAGGCCCACCAGAACGACGACGCTGGACTCCACCCAGCACCCTTAAGGGGCATGCCGCTCCAGGCACCCCTGCGCACCGGCCACATTGGGCCGCAGGCACCCCCTCCGGAAGTTGCCCCTCCCAACGGCAATGCGGGTCGACCTCACGCCGCCCCAACGACGCGAGGCTCCATCCGGAGACCCCGCACCAGCCGCCGACGCCGAAGACGTCTGGAACCAAGCCGTCTCCCTGTCAGACGATTGGTTCAATTTCGACCGCCTGGTACAAGACACACTGGGCGACCTCTTCAGCACCATCGAGGATCCAGACGAGGCAGCCATAGGCCTGGACCAAAGGGGCCCACCGCGCGCGGAGCCGCCGGCAACAGGCTCTCTCGGCCCTCTAGGCGCTGTGTACGACGTCGTCGATGACGAGGACAGCAGCGTTGGCACCCGTCGGAACTACAATCCGACCGGCGAGGACGATGACGATAGCGACGCGACCGTCCTATACAACCCCACCGCGGAGGACAGTCGCGACATCCGGAGGAGGCGCACCACACCGCCTCACCCCAGCACCCGCCGGACTCCGCCATATATGGGCGAAGTGGAAGCCGCCCTGGTCGAGTGCTTCGGGGAAATACCGGAAGGCCTCCTCGATTGGGGGGACACCGGCGACAACACGCCGTCAACCATCTCGGCCGACGAGGTCGAGGTCAGCCGGGATAGCAGCCAGCCAGACGCCTCACGACCGCCGTCCCCCGCCACCGGACCCACTGATGACGAGTCGGCATCGACCATCTCAGCCGAGGAGGACGAGACCAGCCGGGACAGCGGCAGGGCCCTTGTCTCCAGGTCGCCACCCCCGCGTTGGACCCCGCCCAGCACCACTCACGTCGGGACTCCGTCACTCCAAGGCGGGGCACCCTTCACCGCCGACCGTGCCAGATCCCCTCCGCCCTCGTACGAGGAAATATTTGGCCTGGAACCATACCCCGGTCCTCACACCATCGCCCGATGCGCCGCGGTGACCCCCAGGCGCGATCCTCGACCACGCCTGCCCACCATTGCGGAGCTGACCGCAGAGGAGGCACGCCGAAGAGCGCAAGACCTCAGCGAGGAACTCGGCAACCCACCGGTTGCCCAACCGCCAACGAATGGCCCACCATCACCAACCCCGCGCCGCCGAGCACGACGTCGAAGTGCTCCATGGGCAGACAGCCCGCCCAGCTCATCCGACGAATCATCGTTGGACACCGCCGAAGAGGCCACCAACCCTCCCCACTGGGTACCGGCTCCAGCAGAGTGGACCACGCCCAACGGCACATTGCCGGCCGCCTTGCTCCGCCGGATTCAAGGGCGGCTGGCGACACCAAGGCGACGGACGACCCGGATCTTGGAGGAGGAGGCGAGTCAACGCTTCCGCGTCCAGATAAACCGAAACGGGAAAGTCATGGTCACTCTCCAGCCCTCCCGAAGATGGGATGGGGTGTGACGAAGTCACAAAAGCCCTATTATAAATAGTGTAAATATTAGTTAGGTTTATAGTTAAGTTTAGTAATTAGTATAGGGAATTAAGTTAGGATTAGGCATATCATACACGCACACACCACACACGCAACTGTACATTTAGCGGGCATGAAGCCCAAAGTTACTTTGCCCAAGAAGGGCCAAATTAGATTTAAATTAAGACCGCAACGAACAAGCGTATACATTTTTCAAAGACGGACTGTAGCGACCGCGCTGAAGACATTTCCCCTCTCCGCTGCCGACGCGACAGCGGCAGAGGCAGCGACGTTTCCCCTCCGGGACGACAACGATCTTGCTTGTTTACGTTTTGATCGTGTTTATTTACATGCCGATCAAAACATAAACAACACGATCAAAACGTAAACAAAAACAATAACAAAGCCGACGGCCGAAAGCTGCGCTGCCCGGACATTTTTGGCAGAGACGAGGCGACAAGGGCTTTGCAACTTTCGACCGCGAGGACTTCTCTGGCGACAGCAAACGCGATCGGTCGAACTTAGTCCCCGCGATAAGTCCAAAAGGACTCGAAACAACCGAAGTCAACATCCAAGTCCTAAAAGGACACGCGAGTGCCTAAGGAGCCTTCGGCTGACGAACACGTGTCCTCGCCCACCGACAGCAGTGGGTGAGCCGGCTGGAGTGTGGCGTAGGGCCAGGCAAGGTGTCGTTAGTCGTAGCCAAAGTTAGGAATAAATGTACAAAACCGCTAAGCAATAAAATGAAGACTAAAATAGTTTCGTTTTCTCCCTCTCACTCACACCGAACTCCGCGTAGCAACAACCAACCCTTATTTTAACGCGCGCCAAAGTGTTCCCCTCCCGCTCACTCACTCGCCGAGCTGGTGGCTGGGTTCTCCCGCACCAACTTCGCGTGGCCGCTGGGCAAGCTCCCGGCCAGAGCAGCGGGACGGGAGCGGGATTTGTCGCCGCTGGGTTCTCCCGGGCATAGATCTGGCGTAGGGCATCGGGGCTGCTGGGTTTTCCCGAGCTACGAGCACCTCGCCGCCGGCGCGTGCTCAAATATAAATATTTCTGGAGAGGAATCCTGGGCCGCTGAGGCTTACGCCGGCCTAAGACACATCCTTACAATACTATAAATATATAAATAAATAAAAAACGCATGCAAAATAAGGAAGGTATAATAAAAATATATAACTATATAAGTAAATAAATAAATAAATAAATAAACAAAATATAAAAAATAAAAACACATGCAAAATTAATGCTTCTCTACGAGATAACTACTACAAGTCATGCAAAAATAAATAAATAGGTTGAATAAAAAGTAAAAACGCATGCAAAATTAGACTACGGTGCTACACTACGAGCTAACTCTACAAGTATTAAAGTTTTTAATATAGAAGGGTTATCGCTACGAATTATAATGTCAGAGAGGCGGTTGTAATCCGTACATAAAACCCTAAAGGGTTCATGTACTTCAAACTCCCGCCTACAGTGATTTACTACTAAAGGGATAAGGGCTCTAGATGTTAGTCGGGAAACGTGGAAGTTAAGCTGCCCTAAAAGAAAGGGGCTCTCAACAACACTGTTTATTAGGTTATGAAGGAATACGACACCAAGCATCGTTCTACGGTTAGCTAGGGAGGGTAAGTTAATTAATAGGAGTCTACTTGAATAGGATGGTAGCCTCTCATCAGCATCCCAAGGTAGGCCACGGAGGGCGAAAAGTAAAAAGTTCTTTTGTACAGATTCAATACGGTTAATATGGATTCCGAATTGAGGACTCCAGACGCATGAACCATACTCCAATATAGGGCGAACTAACGAAGTAAAAAGGGTCTTCGTTATATAAGGGGAATCGAATTCCTTCGACTACCTCTTAATAAAACCGAGCATGCCCTTGGCTTTATTAACCATGCACGAAATATGTTCAGAGAACGAAAGTTTAGGGTCTAAGCGAACGCCTAAATCATCAACAAGAGATATTCTTTCAAGAGCGCAATCATTTAGCATATAAGTGGCAAACTGGGGAGTGACACGTGAAAATGTCATCAGCTTGCATTTAGAGCTATTGAGATGTAATAAATTAGCACGACACCATGCTTGAAAGTTATTTAGATCCGATTGCAGGTGTGACTGGCAAGAGCTGTCCTTATACTGCAAACATAGCTTAACGTCATCAGCGTACATAAGTACTCTAGAATTCCTTAGATCCAGCGGGAGGTCATTGATAAACAATGTAAATAGCAGCGGGCCGAGGTGGCTACCCTGTGGGACGCCAGAAGTGACTCTGAGGAATTTGGATAGAGCATTTTTAAACAGAACCTTTTGAGTTCTGTCACTCAAATAGCTCAAAATCCATTTAAGAAGATCGACAGGAAACCCGATTAAGTCAAGCTTCCTTACAGGAAGAGAGTGATTAACCGAGTCAAAAGCTTTACTGAAGTCTGTGTAAATCACGTCGGTTTGAAAGTTACGTTGGAAACCTCTAATAACGAAATAGGTGAGTTCCAGGAGTTTTGAAGTGGTCGATCTTCGCCTCATAAAACCATGCTGACATGGTGAAATTACGGATCTGCATAAATGCTGCAAGTGGGGAGTAATTACATTCTCGAAAAGTTTTGGAATTGCCGACAACTTAGAGATTCCTCTATAGTTACTGGCGTCCGATTTGCTACCTTTTTTGTTTCTGAGGTTTCTAAAGATAAGGTAAACAATTTCAGAAGGGGATTGCACAGAGCTCCGGCACAATACCTGAACACGCAGCCTGGTATTCCATCGGGACCCGGTGAGTTTCGGTTAAAATAAGACTGAAAATTAGGTTCGACTTTGGCAAATCAAAAGAGTAAATCTGATCTAAGCTATTTGAGGAACAATACGTAGTTTTGAAAAACTCGGCAAACAGATCGGCGATGGCCTGATCAGAGTTTGCTGTAGAGTTTTTGAACGAAAGCGATGAAGGATGTAAATCGGGTTTTCGCTTAGTGTTAACAAAGTTATAAAACTGTTTCGGGTCCTGCGTGAACTGAACCCTACAACGAGTTAAATAACTTTTATAACACTGCGCGTTAAGCACGGTGAAATCCGACCGAGCACTAAGATATCTTGAATGAACGGTGAGAGATCCGGTGCGTTTATAGCGATTATAAAGCCTAGACTTAACGTTTTTTATGCGTGTCAGCTCTTTAGTGAACCAAGGTGGTTTACTAGAAACCGACGGATAGGTTAACGGAACACACGATGCGAAGAATGCATTCATGGCACTGTAAAAAATATCCACGGTGGACGCCATGTCAGTGCACCTGTAAAGTTCAGACCAATTAAATTCCGAAATTAAGATATCTAGCCTTTGAAAATTTGCTTTACGAAAGCAGCGAACTTTAGTCGCTGAGCAACTCAGATCAGGTTTGGTCTTTACGACAGTTCCCAAATCGACAGTCACTTCGAAAGTAGGGTGGTAAGGGTCTTCGGGAAGCGTCAATGGATCGACTCTTGTTAAGTTTACACCTACAGGATCAGAGACGAAACACAGATCTAGTAGACGATTTAAAGAATTTACGACATGGTTAACTTGGGACAACGAAATGTCAAGCAAACCATCTATGAGGTCATGCTGTGCCGCAGTTTGGAGGACATTAGACGTACCATCTGATGACCAACGAGCTCCAGGTATATTGAAGTCTCCTAGAGTTATTAGTTGGTCTCTATCTGAAAGCATGTTGGAAGCAGCCTGAATTGCCGAAAGGTGTTTCCAATAAATAGGCTCTTCAGCAGATGGAGGAACGTAAGAACATGTTATATAGATAAAACTACCGGGAAATGATAGTTTTACACAGATAAATTCAATACCTGTGAGATCGTCAATTTGAACCAGTTCGGAAATAAGGATGAAGTCAACGGCAATTAAAACTCCACCACCTCGCTGGGAAAGACGGTCCAATCTATAAGTTGTGTACTTACCCAGAAAAATTTCGGAGCTGAGAATCTCCGGCTTTAACCAGGTTTCGGTAAACACAATCACCTGGGATGCAAACGAAAAACTATCAGAATACAATTTAGAGAGCTTGCTGCGTAAGCCTCTAGTATTCTGATAGGAAAGTAGGAGGAAGGTATTTAGTTTTTTTTCACTGCCGTGACGCCCGCAGTCACTGTGGTTTGTGCCGGCCGTGAAGGCCGTTTTTTCTTTATCTTTACCTCGTACTCCTTGACTACAGCGTGCTCAGGCCAGAAGTCACCAGAACAAATTGTGTCAAAAAGATCGAGGGAGACACTTATCTTGAAAGATGAGATATCTCTGGGGTATGAGAAATTGAATTTTTCCGCTTTCACATTTTTGGCTTGTGTTTTGCTCCGTATATAAGCTAGTACATCTTCCGATGCGAGATCAGGGGCAAGCCGGGAAACAAATATTGTTTTTAATGGTGGAATAGCGGTGAGGGTCTTTGGTAACGCAGCATTACCGACTTCTGCTAGTGGTTCAGCCCTATTTTTGCCCTTTGGGATAGCTGAGATTTTTTTTGAAGTCTGCGGAGTCAGAGATTGAGACCCCGCAGCGGACTCAACTGTTAACACTGGCGGAGCTGCTGCCATTTCTGCCCCGGCACCTTCGAATGCCGAATCTTTAGCCGTTCCCGATCTCAACACCATTGGAGTTGGTGTCGGTGTCGGGGGCTGTGCCGAGGGAGTGTGCCAAATCTTTGGTGGCTGGGGTTCGCTCAATTGCAGCCGACCAGCAGCAGATTTTTTCGCTTTAGCGACTCGCTTAACAGCTTCATGCCGCTAAATTGAGCGTCCAGCGCTGTGAACAGGTCGTTTGTTTTACGAAAATTGACCCTAAGTTCACTAAATCCACTTTTGGTTTGCCGCATGAAGGATAACATATCCTTCTCCACCTCACGACAGGCATGGCAACAATAGCGCAAGCCATTTTTGGCAGAAATTGCGTCAGCAATACGGCCCGTTAAGCTTAGACACTTAGCGTGAACGACCGCATCGCAAAGCCAGC